TGAAGAATGAGGAGAGGAAGAGCCGAGAAATGAAGCATTTGAAGGTAAAAAGCGAAGGTAAAAAAAATGCGAAACGGAGAGGAGATGCAACAGAGAGGCTGTATTGACCGAAGGGGAATTTGGGGGCAAATAAGAAGATTGTTGAGCGAGAAGAATTACCGTTAGAAGACTATCCACCATTGACTTGGCCTCACCTGTAGTCCCTCCCATGCCACCATTGCCATGCCTGTTTGTCACATGCTGGCGCAGGAGGAGAGAAGCCGGCGTGAAGAAGCGGAAGGGAAGGAAGAGAGAGTGGATGGAACATAGAGCTTTGAGGAGATGAAGGACGGGAGGGGATACGGAACGTACCACGAAAAAAAACTCAGCTGATGTTGCTGTTGCTGCCTCCTGTGCTGTCTTCGACTGCAGAATGAAAGGCAGGGGAGGAGGAGACAAGGAAGATATGAGAGGAGCAGCGATGACGTTCAAAGAAGAAAGAGAGAGGGTTGGCTGGCGACACAAGGAAATGTGAAGGAGATCTTAGAATGCAACATGCGAATGCCACTTGACCGATGCTCCCTCTGACAGAAAAGGAGTGGCAGGGGAGACTAAAATGATGAGCAGCACGAGGAGCTTACCACATCGTGTCTGCCCGTAGTGTTCCCGTCAGCACCCCATCTGCTGTCTCACCTTGCAGTCCTCGCCTAGTGGAGGATAGACATGGAAGGAAGAGTGGTGACAGGGAAGAACATATGGAGAGAGAAGGTTGAAGGTGTATTCATACAGAGCAGACTGGAAGGGGCGGGTATAAGTGAGTGGGAGGCAGAAATGAGGACACAGAAAGATGAGAGTGAAAGGGAGTAGTAACGTGCAGCGGCACGTAGAGGATCAAAGGAGCAAGTCTGCAAATGCAAAAGGAAAAGGATCTGTCAGTGGAGACTCACCACATACAAATTCTTGACTCCCACTTGACTGCTCCCTCTGCGCCCTCCTCTGCTGCCAAATATCCGGGACAGAGGTAGATATACAGCCTACGGTGAGGTAAAGGAGTGGTACAAGAGAAGAACTTCAGCACAGGAGACTTGATCAACAGAGAACAAGATCAAGCGGCAACCTCTTGTCCTCCTTTGCTCCCTCTCCTCTGCCTCAGTGCCCTCTCCTCATTTGCATGTACAGTCCTCTGCTCCCTCTCCTCCCCTGAGTGCATCGCCTGCTGCTCCCTCTCCTCTGCATGTATCTTCGTCTGGTTCTTCTACTCCTCTGCATGTTTCGTCCCCTCCTCCCTCTCCTCCTCTGCTCTCTATCCTACAATCCAGAACAAACAGTGCTACAACCTAAAGAAGAGGAGAGGAGTCACAGCCTACAGGTGAGGTGACAAGCTAAGTCCTTCATTCTACAGCCTGTACTGATTAACAGAGCAAGGCACAGCAGATAAAAAGATATCACTGAAATCATAACCACCACCTATCCCCTCATTGAGATTACTGAGTTGACATCCCTGTTTGTGTTCGTTTCTTTCCAGCCTGCAAACATTTACTGCTTGATTGTTCGTTATCCTCCTGCATGCATCAGGGATAGGAGCTGCCCTGTTAGCGCACCTGTAGTTAGGCATCAGGGATAGGAGCTGCCCTGTAGTCAGAGTGGGGTTAGCGTACCTGTAGTTAGGCGCTGCCCTGTAGTCAGAGTGGGGTTAGCGTACCTGTAGTTAGGCGCTGCCCTGTAGTCAGAGTGGGGTTAGCGTACCTGTAGTTAGGCGCTGCCCTGTAGTCAGAGTGGGGTTAGCGTACCTGTAGTTAGGCGCTGCCCTGTAGTCAGAGTGGGGTTAGCGTACCTGTAGTTAGGCGCTGCCCTGTAGGGTTCCTTGGTGAGAAGGCTGGCAGCTGAGTAGGACGATGGACGAGGAGCGAAGGAAGGAGGACAGCTGGCGGGTGGAAAACGCGTGTGCTCCTCCATGCTGACCCCAGTGGTTGCACTTGCAGGAGCACCCCTCTCAGCAACACCCCTCTCAGCAACACCCCCCTCAGCAACACCCCCCTCAGCACCACCCTTCCCAATGGCTGCCTTTGCAGCTCCTTGCTGCTCGCACTTCCTCAAACAAGAGTTAGAGTTGAGGATCAGGAAAAGGAGACAGCACGCAGGAAGTAAGTGGACGGAAGACAGCAGTGGAAGAGGAATTGCAAGCGACAAATTAAACAAGGCAGGAAAAACTGGAAAAAGGAGACGTGAAAACAATGTGGAAGGATGCAATCGAAACATAGAGGCGATGGTAGCACACAGCACTAGGGCGGCGAAGGAGAAGCGGAAAGGATGGCAAGGGCGAAGGGAGAGGGAACTTAGCCGTATGGGGGTGCTTGCAGGACAGTGGCGTCAGGCTTCCAGGAGGCTCGCACACCGCTGTGACTGCCTGCCGTGCGTCATCCCACCGCCTCCCCCCCCCGCACCACGCTGCCACAGCACCAGACGAGAGGGGTGGAGCAAGGGAGGGCAAGTGGACCGAGCGGGGAAAATAGTGAAAAAGAAGGCAAGGAGGCAGAGATGTCAACTACGAATGAGTAACCAAGAAAAGAAAAGCTGAAAAATAAAAACGTGTGGAACGATGACGCAGTGAAGGGGGAGGCGATGGTAGCACACAGCACTAGCGCAGCGAGCTAGCAGGCAAGGGGGGACGAGGTAAGGAAGGGACGCGGGCATGAGTATGAGTGCATTCTACTCTACCCTCCTATGACTCTAGTATGAGCTCAAGCTGCCGCAGCAGTGCCATGCGCTACCATCGCCATAGGCCGCTCATCTCTCTCTCAACTTATTTTTCGAAGTATGCTGTGAGGAAAAGACGCGTACATAAGGGGGTACCGAAAACGACGAAGCAGAAGCGGTAAAGATGACAAGGGGAAAAGGGAAGGGACTTAGCCGTAAGGAGCTTTCTTGGAAGCGACAGAAGCAGCGAGGCAGCGCAGGATCCACTCTTCCCACTTTGCAACGCCGTGTGAGCGTCACTCGTTGTTGTTGGTGTGACATCGGCCGCCATCGTATTCGCCTCTGTTACGGCCAACGATTAGATCGTAAAATCACCATCTTCACAATCACCGTCAGTAAGCGTCGCTTCAGTCATCACCGTGTGTAGTTAACGTAAGAATTCGCAATCCTGCTCGTCACCATCGGGAAGCGTCGATTTGATAGTCACTTTGAAGAATCGCAATCTTAGTCGTCACCTTCGGAAAGACTCGTCCTAATCGTCACCGTGGGAAGTCGCAGTCCACGTCACTGACGGAAAACGTCACTTCAATCGTCACCATTAGAAACCATCATCTCGATCGTCACTGCCAGATTGTCGGTTTGGCCATCAGCGTCACTGATCGTACTCTTGATTGTCACCGTAGTTCGGCCATCAGCGTCACTTATCGTACTCTTGATCGTCGCCGTCAGAAGCGGCCGTCGCCGACTATCTCAACTATCACCGTTGGAATTAGACGTCGTTCGTCACCGTCAGAAAGAACCTCTCAATCAGCGAAGTTAGATGGCGATGTCTGAAGTCCGAAGTCCGTACAATCATTCGGCACTGCCTTCGCCGTGTAAAACAGCTGTCGCCGGCAGGTATCGGCCTCGGTCATCACCAAATCTTAAAACAGCTGCCTTCGCCGTGTAAAACAGCTGCCTTCGCCGTGTAAAACAGCTGCCTTCGCCATGTAAAACAGCTGCCTTTGCCGTGTAAAACAGCTGCCTTTGCCGTGTAAAACAGCTGCATTTGCCGTGCAAAACAGCTGCTTTCGCAGTGTAAAACAGCTGCCTTCGCCGACGTTCTCGCTGCTGGAGAGCGGCGTCGCCACGGTACTCGAATGAGCGTATGGAGATCAGAAGAAGATATGTGAGGCATCTCCGCAAACCCCTCTGTTTCGCGCTCGTCAGATGTCTAGAATGCTTCAATCAAGTTGTTCTGGAAACTGAAGTAGAAATCAGAACTGCAGTCAAGAAAGTAATTGCTGGATGACGGAAATGAAACTGCTCCGAATGACTACGGCATCTAAGCTTCGAATGTATCTGCCCGAATAGATCAGACGTAAAGCTCGGTTAAATCTTAATGATGACTACGAGTAAGGTTAAAATGTTACTGGTTTGCGTCAGGAGACACAGCCATGGATTGCAACGATCGGTGATTTCCGTCTTGACGACCTTGAGATAAACAGCTTACGAAGACTAGAACTACTAATGAGAACCATTAATGGCTAATAACAAAATGACGGCAGCCATGGACTTCGGTTTAGCGAGCTTATCCTCCGGAACTCCATGAGTGAACTGCTGTGATCATGGCGAGAAGGAATGGCATTCAGGGAAGGTGGAGAATGGACTTCAGTAAGGGAGAGACTATCAGTGAGAAGAAATGTCGGGTTCAGTGGGGAAGTTCTGGGGATTTAGACGGATTTAGAGTGGTGAAGAAGGATTCACATAGACGAGGATCCATATTCCCTGCTCAGGTGAAGGTTGCTGCCGCGCTGTCAAGCGGAAGGTGGCAGTTTCGTGAGAGTTGACGACTCACGAAATTCTCAGAATCTCCGCAGCCCGGCGGGCGGTCCCGCAGTTTCGCCGTTTGCGCGGGAATCGACTGTCAGAAGCATACTTCTGACACGACGCCATGACACTTCTGATCGCCATTCTTTCGGGTATACCAGATTGATCGAACGGCCGAGCGCAAACTTCCATTTTCCCCGCCAATGTGCAACACACAAAAAATAATAGCCAAAGCATTCTTGTACCGGAAACATTGCAAGCGATATACATTATCTCTCAATCCACCTACATTAATCAATTCCACTCTGATGAACAATGCTGTATGCCTTCCATGAAGTTAGCATCAGCTCCCAACATTCACAGAGACATTTCCAGGCATAATATTGTATTCACATTTTAATACGCGCAGTAATTGAAACCAGCGGCGCCCGTTCATAGGTAGAGGCATACCTCTGATATGTAACTTGTAATATGCCCTTATATTCTGCATGAAAACTGCTGACCGTTTAGTAGGACTAACTAGCCATGGCAGCAGCGGAGCAAAGGCAGAGAGCGGTGAGAGTGACGCCATGAGCAGCAGCAGCAGCATGCTCCACACCGCGTGCCGGCTCACCCACCGTCTCTCTGCCCACTCCACCCCCTGCGACACTGCCCACCCTTTGCCCGCACGTAGAGCACAGATAAAAGGGAGTGGCGATGGGGAGTCCAGGGACGCACAGGGGAAGGCTGCTGGGGTGATGCATGCAGGGGTGGGGACTGCTGGGGTGAGCGTTGCTGAGGGGTGGAGTGTAGCAAGGGTGAGGGAAGATGGGTGGTGGGATGGGTTACGCCGTTACAAGAGTGTTCGAGTGGGAGCAAGTCGAAGTGGCCTGGTAACGATGCATCTCTGGCTGCCTCTGCTCCTGCTGAAGCACCCTCTGCTCCCACGCGTGCCTCAGCTTCTCTCCCCTTCCCGCCGTGCCTCTGCTCCGCAATGGGCCCACCTCTCCCCTCCGCCTCTGTCTCTGCTTCTTCCTCACAGCACACTGCGCGTATGCAGCCGCCTGCCAGCCTAGCTGGCATGCTGACGTGGAGCCCAAAGATATCAGAGAGTGATGACGTGGCAGAAGAACCGCCACCAATGATGTGCACCTTACTGCGCGTGGTTGAGCTCAGCAGCTGGCGGTGAGAGCAATGGAGGGGAGGGGGAGAGAGGGGACGAGATGGGTGGGGAGGGGATAGGATGGGATGGGATGGGAGGGAGAGGAGGGAAGGGGGGAGGGGATGGGAGAGGAGGGGAGGTGAAGCGGATGGGAGGTGAAGGGGAGGGGAGGGGAGGGAAGGGGAGGGCGAGGGGAAGGGGAGGGGGGGGAGGAGAGATGACAGGCAGCAAGCAAACAGCAAGATGAAAGGGAGAACAGAATACCTAGCACTTCCACTCTTCGCCACCTGCAGCGCCCTCCACCCACACCCACATCACCCCTCCTCCCCCACCCCCAACACCCCCTTCCCCCACCTGCAGCAAGGCACGAGCCAGGAGGCGCAGGGTGGCCGGCAGGTGCAGCACGGCAGGCGGGCCATGCGGTGGGGGAAGTTGCGGTGCAGAGCGGTGATGGTGGCGCGCAGCAGCACCACGGGCAGGTGCCACAGCGAGGACACGCCCTGGCAGTCCATGATCAAGGCGATGCGCCCGCTGTGAGGGCATACCAGGGTGAGCGCTGCTGTCACCGCTCAGGACGGTGGGGAGGGGGAGGACGCGCAGGGGCTGGGGCTTTGGAGAAGCGCATGTGGTATCAATCAGCTGCGTGCCCAGCCAGGCGCCACATGTCGCATTAATCACCTTCACTGGGTGGAAATGGCGCCACAGTCCCACTAACTGTCCCACAGTCCCACCACTGTCCCACCGCTGTTCCATCACTGTCCCACAGTCCCAATCTCCGACCACTGTTTCACAGTCCCACTGTCCCACGACTGTCCTCGTATGGTACGCTGTGGTGCCGTACGGCACGCTGCTGGGGGTTGTGAGGGAGAGGCGCCGCTGCTCTGGGGGTTGTGAGGGAGAGGCGCCGCTGCTCTGGGGGGTTGTGAGGGAGAGGCGCCGCTGCTCTGGGGGGTTGTGAGGGAGAGGCGCCACTGCTTTGGGAGGTTGTGAGGGAGAGGCGCCGCTGCTCTCGGGGGTTCTGAGGGAGAGGCGCCACTGCTCCGGGGGTGTTGTGAGGGAGAGGCGCCGCTGCTGTGGGTGCTTGTGAGGGAGAGGCGCCGCTGCTCTGGGGGGTTGTGAGGGAGAGGCGCCGCTGCTGTGGGGGGTTGTGAGGGAGAGGCGCCGCTGCTCTGGGGGTTGTGAGGGAGAGGCGCCGCTGCTCTGGGGGGGTGTGAGGGAGAGGCGCCGCTGCTCAAGGGGGTTGTGAGGGAGAGGCGCCGCTGCTGTGGGGGGTTGTGAGGGAGAGGCGCCGCTGCTCTGGGGGGTTGTGAGGGAGAGGCGCCGCTGCTCTGGGGGGTTGTGAGGGAGAGGCGCCGCTGCTCTGGAGCGTTGTGAGGGAGAGGCGCCTCTGCTCTGGGGGGTTGTGAGAGAGAGGCGCCGCTGCTCTGGGGGTTCGGGGGGGAAGAGGCGCCGCTGCTCTGGGGGTTGTGAGGGAGAGGCGCCGCTGCTCTGGGGGGTTGTGCGGGAGAGGCGCCGCTGCTCTGGGGGTTGTGAGGGAGAGGCGCCACTGCTCTGGGGGTTCTGAGGGAGAGGCAGATGGATCATGGGATGGGAATGAGGCGGAGGGGAATTAGGCGGATAGGAATGAGGTGGATGGGAAGGAGACGGATGGGAAGGAGGCGGATGGGAATGAGGCGGATGGGAAGCGAGGCGGGTGGGAATTATGCGGATGGGAATAAGGCGGATGGGATGGGAATGAGGCGGATGGGAATTAGGCGGATTGGAACGAGGCGGATGGGAATGAGACGAATGGGAATGAGGCGGATGGGATGGAGGCGGATGGGAATGAGGCGGATGGGAATGAGACGGATGGGAATGAGGCGGATGGGAATGAGGCGGATGGGAATGAGGTGGATGGGAATGAGGCGGATGGGAAGCGAGGCGGATGGGAATTATGCGGATGGGAATAAGGTGGATGGGATGGGAATGAGGCGGATGGGAATGAGGTGGATGGGAATGAGGCGGATGGGAATGAGGCAGATCGGAATTATGCGGATGGGAATTAGGCGGATGGGATGGGAATGAGGCGGATGGGAATGAGGCGGATTGGAACGAGGCGGATGGGAATGAGACGAATGGGAATGAGGCGATGGGATGGAGGCGGATGGGAATGAGGCGGATGGGAATGAGACGGATGGGAATGAGGCGGATGGGAATGAGGGCGGATGGGAATAAAAGCGAGGGCAGATGAAGAAGCCTTGCGAGAAGAAGCAGTGACAGACAGGTGAGGTGGGAAGGTGGGAGTGGAAAGAAAGTGGGGGGGTATGAGACAGGACACTAATAGTGGGAGAAGTGAAGGGTGGGTAAGTAAGACGAGGAAACTTCCAGAGTCGACTTTGCTTCCACGCCCTTCATTGGCTGGCCGTCATTACTTTCAGGTGTGTAGCTCCTCGGTCCACCACACCTAACCCCTTGGCATTGCTGCTGCTGCCGGGAATTCTGCTTGTCGGTGCTGATAGCGTGGCTTATCAAGTGTTTTTCTGCAAGCAAAATGGAGGAGAAACAATGCTATATGAGATGCGTTGGTTGCTAACGGAGGCCTAGCAGAGGCAAGGAGACGCAGTAATACTGAGAAGACATAAGGGCAAGGGAAAACGGACGAGGAAAGGAGGGAAAAGAAAAAGGGACGAGGCAAGAAGGGGACGGCAAAGTCAACCAGAGAAAATGACAGGAGGGAGGGAGGGAAAACACTTCCCTGAACCTCCACTCCCACTGAACACCTTACTGAGGGAAAATCACAGTGGGTTGAATGGATGCATACCGTGCCATAATGGCAGCAATGGCATGGGTGTGGGTGCTGGGGACTGGTGTTGACTGGCGTTGACTGATGCTGACTGCCGTGGTGCTGCAGGCACCGATGTACTGCTGTGCCAAGCGGGAGAAGGCATTCGCCCCGAGGCTATAAGATGGATGGGAAGATGCAAAGGGATTGGCCTCAGGCATGGGCAGACACTCAGATGTGGGCAAAAAGCAGGTCAAGGTTGGCAATAGAGCACAAGCAGTGGAGAGCAAGAGTGAGAAACTCGAAACTTGAGTGGCGGGAGGAGGGAGGACGGGGAAAGGGGTAGGCGCATGGCGACAGTGGCCCACGGCACTACAGCAGCGAGCTGAGCAAGCTAGGGGGGACTGGGGAAGAGAGGGACGCGCGCATGGCATGAATGCACCCTCTCTCCCTCTAATCTCTCCCACCACTCCCACTACATTGCACTGTACTTGAGCTCCACTGCTATAGCTCCATGGACCACCACCAGCACCATGCGCCAAGAGACGAATGTGCCCTAAGATTTGCCACGAGTGAAAGAGACGGATGGGGAGAGAGGGAGGACGGGGGAGCGGAGAGGAAACTTAGCTTAGGGGAAGCGTAGAGGCTGAAAGTGACTCGTCCAAGGCAGCAGCAGCAAGCAGCAGCGTCGCCATTCCACACGCCATTGCACGCAGCAAGTCGCCGTTCCGCACACCTTCGCACGCGTCGCAGCAGTAGCCTCGCTCACTTCGTGGGGGTCGTGGCAGCAGTACCCTCACTCACCTCGTGGGGGTCGTGGCAGCAGTACCCTCACTCACCTCGTGGGGGTCGTGGCAGCAGTACCCTCACTCACCTCGTGGGGGTCGTGGCAGCAGTACCCTCACTCACCTCGTGGGGGCCGTGGCAGCAGTACCCTCACTCACCTCGTGGGGGTCGTGGCAGCAGTACCCTCACTCACCTCGTGGGGGTCGTGGCAGCAGTACCCTCACTCACCACGTGGGGGTCGTGGCAGCAGTACCCTCACTCACCTCGTGGGGGTCGTGGCAGCAGTACCCTCACTCACCTCGTGGGGGTCGTGGCAGCAGTACCCTCACTCACCTCGTGGGGGTCATGGCAGCAGCAGTACCCTCACTCACCTCGTGGGGGTCGTGGCAGCAGTACCCTCACTCACCTCGTGGGGGTCGTGGCAGCAGTACCCTCACTCACCTCGTGGGGGTCGTGGCAGCAGTACCCTCACTCACCTCGTGGGGGTCATGGCAGCAGCAGTACCCTCACTCACCTCGTGGGGGTCGTGGCAGCAGTACCCTCACTCACCTCGTGGGGGTCGTGGCAGCAGTACCCTCACTCACCTTGTGGGGGTCGTGGCAGCAGTACCCTCACTCACCTCGTGGGGGTCGTGGCAGCAGTACCCTCACTCACCTCGTGGGGGTCGTGGCAGCAGTACCCTCACTCACGCCATTTCGCACACCGTAGCACGCATTAAGTCGCCATTCCGCACACTGTCGCACGCAGTAAGTCGCCATCCCGCACGCCGTCGCACGCAGAAAGTCGCCATTCCGCACACCGTCGCACACAGTAAGTTGCACATGGTTTGTCGCCATCATCCGCACATCATCGCATGCGTAAGTCGCCAGTATCCCCGACTTCGCAAGCATTTGGTCAGAATTGGTGCTCCTCATCACCAGCGCCCAGCACGGCGTGACCGCGACTCACGGCGTGACAGCAACTCCCAGCGTGACAGCGACTCGCAGCCCATATCTCGCCACCTCTCCTCACGCGCACGCTGTCTAGCGTGCTGCTCGCTGCTCGCAGCTCGCCGCTTGCACGACGCTCAACGTTTGAATAAATCGCCAATCACCATCACCATCTGCTGCTCGCCGATCGTTGCACATTGCTAGTCGCTCGCTGTTCGTCCTTAACCATCTCGCCTGCCGTTCAACAGCCGTCACCCACTGTTCGAGATTCGAAATCCCCCAATACCACCACTCGACAATCGTCGCACGATGCTAACCGCTAACAGGCTGTTCGACGCAAGCCGTTCGCTGCTCATAGTGTCGCCGTGAGTCACCGTGACGCCGGTCGCCTTGCTGCTAGAGATCCACAGGCTGAACCATCCGTGAGCAGCGACGTCATCGCTTGTCTTGGATCATTCTTGCAAGCGACGGTAGCTACGAAGCTCAGCAGATCAGCGACGATCGCTATGGACCTTAGCGGATCAGCAACTTCCTATGGAGCTTAGCGGATCAGCGACTTGCTATGGAGCTTAGCGGATCAGCGACTTGCTATGGAACTTAGCGGGTCAGCGACGGTCGCGACGGATATTAGCGGATCAGCGACGGTCGCGATGGATATCAGCGGATCAGCGACGGTCGCGATGGATATTAGCGGATCAGCGACGGTCGCGATGGATATTAGCGGATCATCGACTCGCTGTCATGGAACTTAGCGGATCGACGGTTGCTATAAAGCTCAGCGGATGATCGACGATTGCTATGGAGCTCAGCGGAGCAGCGACGGTCGATGCTTAGCACAGCAGCGACGGTGACTACGGAGCTTAAAAGATCAGCTTCACGCTAGCTTTGGAGCTCCAGCAGGTACTCTCGTAGAGATTCACTGGTGGTACTGAGACTCCGTGCTTCCAGCGGTACTGTCTCAATGCGCTTACGGGATTGCCTGATAATGCTTCCGGTATCGCCTGGGATGCTGAAAGCACTTCGAATGTCATTCCTGAGACTGCTGATCGGGAACGGTGCTGCATAACGCGCTAGCCTTGATCGAAACATAATGACAGATTCGGCTATCTCGGCACGAAGCGTAAACGGATTATACGCGACAACTAAACCGGTGGAGATCCTTATCGGGAAGAAGTACAAGCGCTGAGCCAAGACGTCAAAAGCGGTTAACAATAAGCCTATCAAAATCTAGATGCTGGAAACGGAAATAGCATTCGAGGCAACTAGAACGACAGAGAGGCTTTAGATTTCGAGATTAATAATCACCATTATCATGCTCCCGAGCTAAGCAGTACGGTTAGACGGGCTTCAGAAACTAAATCGTATCAGAATCTAGATCAGAATGATGCTGAAACGGCCTTATCGAGACATGCTATTACTTCCAAGGCTGTGCTGAACAATAAGTGTATCGTAGTCTATGATAAGCCACACCACCGAGGGATTTCGACAGCAGCCATGCCAAGCTGAGGAAGCCATGAAGGTCAGCATCGACTACGCTGAACTCGAGAAATTCAGTGAAGAGATCCAGGAGACTGGACTTTAGCAGGCGACAGGAATGAACCTCGGGAATGTCGTGAGGCTGACGACCCATCCAGCCAGCAGGTGCACTATCAACAACAGAATCATCAAAGGATGGCCCTCGGGATGCCACCAAGCTGAATGACTTGGTCTCAGCAAGGATGGGTCCAGCAAGGAGGCGAAGAGGTCATTTCAGTGGTCCCCACAAGCCAATCAGCAACGGCGCAAGCGCGTCGCTAGCAAATGAGAAGAGAGTAACACAATGTTGTCGAGTTTCAGAAGTCAGGCGCCACCAAAGTGCTGACGAAGCGCGGTTTTTGTAAGTTACGCGCGGGAAACTTCACTATCAGCTCACCTTCAACAACCTATGTTCACTTGTACGTTTATTTTGACATTAAAATCGTAAAGTTGACTAGATTCGTCCTGAAATCACTTGGACAATGTCTGGATGATCTGGCTGAGCATTCAGACTTCAGTATTGTTATGAAAGCTAACCTGATCCTTTTCCTCAGTACCAGAATTTGTCGAAATGCCAGGAACTTCGCTGGATTTGTTTGTTGGATGTTCTCACATGCACATGCTGCCGCTCAGATAACTGTTGATCGTTCTGTACAGGAGTGATGCAGCAGCACAGAACGCTGATGTAGAATATTCAAGAGAATAGATTCGACAAGTGATCATTGACAATGCCGACAAGGTTTTCCAGTACTCCACATATACAACAAGGAGTGACAAATAAACCGATTCGCCCCAAGAAGGCCCTGCTGCTGCGCTAATCACTGCAGTCGACCACAGCGTGCACAGGATGGATGCACCCTCGCAAACCATAGTCATGTATATCACCTGCACACAAACCATGATACCATCTACCACCTCTACACTTTCACCTCCCTATCACAACCCAGTCCCATGATCCACCGCCTCGAACGCTCAGCTCCCAGGCGCTTAATGGTAGCGCCCTGCCAGGTGCCGCACTTGCATCAATCACCTTCACCAGGTTGACATGGCAGCAGGGGTCACCCAGCCGGCGGGGAGGAGGAGGAGGGCGGTGGTGCATTGCCCCCATTGCTGGTGGAGAAGCGCACGTGGTAGGTGCGCAGGTAGCGCTCTGCCAGGCGTCGCACGTCCTCGCCTTCCTTCACGAGGAAAGCGGCTGACCGCGCCCCCCCGTGGCGCTCCATCACCTTGCCTGCTGCCTTGCTCGCCACCCACCGCCGCTGCTCCGCGCTGATCACCCCGCTGCGCTCCAATGGGCGCAGGTGCTCTCGGATAAACACCTCCACCTGCTCACACGGACAAGGGAGAGTAAGCCAAATGCACAAAATGGACAAAATGCCATATCAGTTAGACTACACAAAATGCTTTTCAAATGGAAAGGTGTGGGGGAGGGGCGGATGTGAGGCTGCTCCGCGCTGATCACCCCACTGCACTCCAAGGGGCGCAGGTGCTCTCGGATAAACACCTCCACCTGCTCACACCGGGGAAAAGGCACGGCAATACACCTCAGTTAGATTCCATGTAAGTTTCTTTGCTTGGGTCGGGGTGGGGGAGGAGCTGTTGTGAGGCATGCATGTGGATGGCAGGAGAAAGTGGGCATGCAGTCATGAAGAAGAGCTGAGAGAGGGGTGGGGGAGACGGAACGAAACAAGGAAAGGGGTGGGAGGGGGCATGGCGGGAGAGGGGGTTTGGTGGAGAAGGAGTGAGGGAAGAGAGGTACCTACCTGGTTCAAGACGGGGTCTTTCCTCCTGTCCCCCTGCTGGGCTGACTCAGCAGTGCTGCCAGCTGGCACGGTAGTGCTGCCAGCTGGAAGGGCGGCGCCGCTGCTCTGCCTCCCTGGCACGCCCACCCCTCCGCCACCACTGCTGCTCGCCCCACCACTGCCCTCACCCACCACACCCCTCCCTGCCCCCTCGCTGCCACTCCCACCCGCGCCACAAGCATCCCCAACAGCAGCAACAGCAGCAGGAGCAGCAGCTGCTACCCCTTGCCCCACAGGAAAGGCCTTGTCCCCACGCCCCTCGCTCCACTCACTCCCAAGGGTCCCACCTCCCCAACATGCCACTGCACTGGCCCCACAGTCCCCATCCAGCACCTCCCCTGCATCGCCCTCCCCTCCCCCAACGGCTGCCACTGCCTCCATCGCTTCCCCACTCGCCCCGCCCTCCCCTTGCCTCCTCTCCCCCTGCCCCTCCCTTCCTTCGCCCTCCACCCGCCCCTGCTCGTCCTGCTCGCCCTGCTGCGTGCAAGCAACGCCAGCGCCACCAACACCCACTGCTTCGCCGCTACTCTTGCCTGCTGCTCTCCGTCTCTCTGCCTCCCCTCCTTGCTGCTCTCCCTGCACACTGCCCTTAGCCCCTACACCCTTTCCTATAATTTCTTTAGAATCACGCTCCACATTGTCACCCTCCCTGCCTGCCACCACGGCAGCAGCAGGCTGAGGTGGCTTCACACGGCTCATACTCTCCCCCGCGCCCCCCTGCTGCCCCGTATCCCGCCCGGCCTCCTCCCCCTTAGGAGATCCCGGGGGTGACGGCCCATCCAATCCTGTGGCTCGGAGCGCCCGAGCCACTGATGCCCGAGCCAAGGCATCAGCTATGGAAATCGGCCTAGCCTCGTCCACAAAGCTGGCTGCCGAGCCGGCAGCTTTGGTTGGGGATGAAGCGGCTCCGGCAGTCGATCTGGCAGCAGCGGCAGCAGGAGCAGCGTTGAGAATTGAGGAGGAAAGTGGAGAGTTGAGGGTGGCGGATGCAGCAGCAAGGGCGCGGGCGGAGAGGGAGAGGTAGAGGCGCTGATTGGCGGACTGGTTGAAGAGCGCCCTCTCTGCTGCCACGCCCGCTGCTATCGCTGCCCACGTCTCATCGTTGCGACCGATTGCACTGACAGGGACGGCCCTCAGATGGTGATTCACCCACCGACTCACGTGCCTCTGAACGTGAGTCATGGGGGTGGGGAACGTGTGGAAAGAGAAAGGAGGGAGGAGATAGGGAAGAGAGGTGGGAAACAGAGGGAGACCGCAGTTTTTGCTTGTGAATGCTGTGAAGGAAAAGGATGTGAATGCACAGGAATTCAGGTGAGAGGCAAGAAGTCAGGTGTCCCAGTATCCCAGTATCCCGGCCCGGTATCCCGGGAAACCGGGAAACCGGGAAACCGGGATACCGGGAAACCGGGAAACCGGGAAACCGGGATACCGGGAAACCGGGAAACCGGGAAACCGGAAAACCGGGAAACCGGGAAACCGGGAAACCGGGAAGCCGGGAAACCGGGAAACCGGGAAACCGGGATACCGGGATACCGGGATACCGGGAAACCGGGAAACCGGGAAACCGGGATACCGGGAAACCGGGAAACCGGGAAACCGGGAAACCGGGAAACCGGGATACCGGGAAACCGGGAAACCGGGAAACCGGGAAACCGGGAAACCGGGAAACCGGGATACCGGGAAACCGGGAAACCGGGAAACCGGGAAACCGGGAAACCGGGAAACAGGGAAACCGGGAAACCGGGAAACCGGGATACCGGGAAACCGGGAAACCGGGAAACCGGGAAACCGGGAAACCGGGATACCGGGAAACCGGGAAACCGGGAAACCGGGATACCGGGAAACCGGGAAACCGGGAAACCGGGAAACCGGGAAACCGGGATACCGGGATACCGGGAAACCGGGAAACCGGGATACCGGGATACCGGGATACCGGGAAACCGGGAAACCGGGAAACCGGGATACCGGGAAACCGGGAAACCGGGAAACCGGGATACCGGGAAACCGGGAAACCGGGAAACCGGAAAACCGGGAAACCGGGAAACCGGGAAACCGGGAAACCGGGAAACCGGGATACCGGGAAACCGGGAAACCGGGAAACCGGGATACCGGGAAACCGGGATACCGGGAAACCGGGAAACCGGGAAACCGGAAAACCGGGATACCGGGAAACCGGGAAACCGGGAAACCGGGAAACCGGGAAACCGGGAAACCGGGAAACCGGGAAACCGGGATACCGGGAAACCGGGAAACCGGGATACCGGGAAACCGGGAACCGGAAAACGGGATACCGGGATACCGGGAAACCGGGAAACCGGGAAACCGGGATACCGGGAAACCGGGAAACCGGGAAACCGGGAAACCGGGATACCGGGATACCGGGATACCGGGATACCGGGAAACCGGGAAACCGGGAAACCGGGAAACCGGGAAACCGGGAAACGGGGAAACCGGGAAACCGGGAAACCGGGAAACCGGGAAACCGGGATACCGGGAAACCGGGAAACCGGGAAACCGGGATACCGGGAAACCGGGAAACCGGGAAACCGGGAAACCGGGAAACCGGGAAACCGGGATACCGGGATACCGGGAAACCGGGAAACCGGGATACCGGGATACCGGGAAACCGGGAAACCGGGAAACCAGGAAACCGGGATACCGGGAAACCGGGAAACCGGGATACCGGGAAACCGGGAAACCGGGAAACCGGGAAACTGGGGAAACCCGGAAACCCGGAAACCGGGACGGGAAAACGGGAAACCGGGATACCGGGAAACCGGGAAACCGGAAAACCGGGAAACCGGGATACCGGGAAACCGGGAAACCGGGAAACTGGGATACAGGGAAACCGGGAAACCGGGAATCCGGGAATCCGGGAAACCGGAAAACCGGGAAACCGGGATACCGGGATACCGGGATACCGGGAAACCGGGAAACCGGGAAACCGGGAAGCCGGGAAACCGGGAAACCTGGATACCGGGAAACCGGGAAACCGGGATACCGGGATACCGGGAAACCGGGAAACCGGGAAACTGGGATACCGGGGAAACCCGGAAACCCGGAAACCGGGACGGGAAACCGGGAAACCGGGATACCGGGAAACCGGGAAACCGGAAAACCGGGAAACCGGGATACCGGGAAACCGGGAAACCGGGAAACTGGGATACAGGGAAACCGGGAAACCGGGAATCCGGGAATCCGGGAAACCGGAAAACCGGGAAACCGGGATACCGGGATACCGGGATACCGGGAAACCGGGAAACCGGGAAACCGGGAAGCCGGGAAACCGGGATACCGGATACCGGGATACCGGGATACCCGGATACCGGGAAACCGGGATACCGGGAAACCGGGAAACCGGGAAACCGGGATACCGGGATACCGGGAAACCGGGAAACCGGGAAACCGGGAAACCGGAAAACCGGGAAACTGGGATACAGGGAAACCGGGAAACCGGGAATCCGGGAATCCGGGAAACCGAAAAACCGGGAAACCGGGAAACCAGGAAACCGGGAAACCGGGAAACCGGGAAACCGGGAAACCGGGAAACCAGGAAACCGGGAAACCGGGAAACCGGGAAACCGGGATACCGGGAAACCGGGAAACCGGGAAACCGGGATACCCGGATATCGGGATACCGGGATACCGGGAAGCCGGGAAACCGGGAAACCGGGAAACTGGGATACCGGGATACGGGGATACCGGGATTCCGGAACCGGGAAACTGGGAAACCGGGAAACCGGGATACCGGGAAACCGGGATACCCGGAAACCGGGAAACCGGGAGACCGGGAAGCCGGGAAACCGGGAAACCGGGAAACCGGGATACCCGGAAACCGGGAAACCGGGATACCGGGAAACCGGGAAACCGGGAAACCGGGAAACCGGGAAACAGGGAAACCGGGATACCGGGAAACCGGGAAACCGGGAAACCGGGAAACCGGGATACCGGGATACCGGGAAACCGGGATACAGGGAAACCGGGAAACCGGGAATCCGGGAATCCGGGAAACCGAAAAAACCGGGAAACCGGGAAACCGGGAAACCAGGAAACCGGGAAACCGGGAAACCGGGAAACCGGGAATCCGGGAATCCGGGAAACCGGAAACCGGGAAACCGGGAAACCGGGATACCGGGAAACCGGGAAACCGGGATACCCGGATATCGGGATACCGGGATACCGGGAAGCCGGGAAACCGGGAAACCGGGAAACTGGGATACCGGGATACCGGGATACCGGGATACCGGGAAACCGGGAAACCGGGAAACCGGGATACCGGGATACCGGGATACCCGGAAACCGGGAAACCGGGATACCGGGAAACCGGGATACCGGGAAACCGGGAAACCGGGAAACCGGGAAGCCGGGAAACCGGGAAACCGGGATACCCGGAAACCGGAAACCGGGATACCGGGAAACCGGGAAACCGGGAAACCGGGAAACTGGGATACCGGGAAACTGGGATACCGGGAAACCGGGAAACCGGGAAACCGGGAATCCGGGAATCCGGGAAACCAAAAAACCGGGAAACCGGGAATCCGGGAAACCGGGAAACCGGGAAACTGGGAAACCGGGAAACCGGGAATCCGGGAATCCGGGAAACCGGAAAACCGGGAAACCGGGATACCGGGAAACCGGGAAACCGGGAAACCGGGATACCCGGATATTGGGATACCGGGATACCGGGAAGCCGGGAAACCGGGAAACCGGGAAACCGGGATACCGGGATACCGGGATACCGGGATACCGGGAAACCGGGAAACCGGGAAACCGGGATACCGGGATACCGGGATACCCGGAAACCGGGAAACCGGGAGACCGGGAAGCCGGGAAACCGGGAAACCGGGAAACCGGGATACCCGGAAACCGGGAAACCGGGAAACCGGGAAACCGGGAAACCGGGATACCGGGATACCGGGAAACCGGGAAACCGGGAAACCGGGAAACCGGGATACCGGGAAACCGGGAAACCGGGAAACCGGGAAACCGGAAAACCGGGAAACCGGGAAACCGGGAAACCGGGAAACCGGGAAACCGGGATACCGGGAAACCGGGAAACCGGGAAACCGGGATACCGGGAAACCGGGATACCGGGAAACCGGGAAACCGGGAAACCGGAAAACCGGGAAACCGGGATACCGGGAAACCGGGAAACCGGGATACCGGGAAACCGGGAAACCGGGAAACCGGGAAACCGGGAAACCGGGAAACTGGGATACCGGGATACCGGGATACCGGGATACCGGGAAACCGGGAAACCGGGAAACCGGGATACCGGGATACCGGGATACCGGGAAACCGGGAAACCGGGATACCGGGAAACCGGGATACCCGGAAACCGGGAAACCGGGAGACCGGGAAGCCGGGAAACCGGGAAACCGGGATACCCGGAAACCGGAAACCGGGATAACGGGAAACCGGAAACCGGGAAACCGGGAAACCTGGATACCGGGAAACCGGGATACCGGGAAACCGGGAAACCGGGAAACCGGGAATCCGGGAATCCGGGAAACCAAAAAACCGGGAAACCGGAATCCGGGAAACCGGATACCGGGAAACTGGGAAACCGGAAACCGGGAATCCGGGATCCGGGAAACCGGGAACCGGGAACCGGGATACCGGGAAACCGGGAAACCGGGATACCCGGATATCGGGATACCGGGATACCGGGAAGCCGGGAAACCGGGAAACCGGGAAAC